TGACAGGGGGACCGTCCATTATAAAAGGGGAGGGGTGTAAGTTTTCCACACAGCAAAAGTTGCAGTATAAAACACAGCAAAAGTTGCGGTGTAAAACACCCAAAGTTGCAGTGTAAAACACCAAAAGTTGCGGTGTAAAACACCAAAAGTTGCGGTGTAAAATTTTGTACCTGTCGGCCACGGTAGTTCTCAGTGCGTGGGGCCGTAACAAGTTTAAACACGATATATTCTAGAGCGTGATTTCTTCATTGTAGGTGACGTGAACCATGTGTGTTCTTTGTGCACGGGGCTGTTTATTTCTCAAGACATTCAAAGCGCTGGTTTGTTTTCTTGAAGTGGCGTGAACCATGTATATGCATTTTTCTTGAAGGTGACGTGAACCAGGCATATGCATTCATAGTGCGTAGAGCTAGCTCCATGGAGCTGGAAAAAAATCTGCCGCAGGGCTGAAGTACTCACCTCCATGGAGCTAGCTCCATGGAGGTGAGTAGTACAGCCCCCATTGGAGATTACTATCTCACCATATACACCGCGGATAAGGCGGGGCATAAACGTTATTATCATATAGCCTATCGTACTAAGTTATTTGACCCAAATTTCTTAATGAAATTCCTCCATTGCCGACAAAAACTCGAGTTTATTTTACAAAAAAAAAACTATGTCTGCAGTCCTTCTTTTGGATATTGAACCCAAAACCCCAATGCAATATTCTCTACTCGAGACTGGTATTCATATGGCCGTATTTTACAAATGAAAAGGAAAACTTACCACTGACATTGGACTAAACGGAATAAATGCCTAACATATAGCTAATTATGAAATGTTAAATGCCTAATCTTGATTAGGTTTTCCCACGAGGCCCATTTTCAAACTTGACCACAAATTGCCACTACAGTGACGTAGGGACCCCCATGAGAACATTTTTTTAATATCACCATTGTATCCCCAACGTTAAGTTGCCTACCAAAAATTCACTAACATCGAATCATGCCTTCAAGAGTGTGCCGCCTAGTATTCCACACACTATAGCAAAGCGATTTCATAGCCTTGTAGACAAAGGCAATTATTTGACGATTAAGGGAAGACAAACATCCTATCTTAGTGTATGAATTAATATTTATTTCTCTCAGGTGCCACACCCATGCGGCAGCCTGAGCCTTATTGGCGATCACGTGCGGACGCCGCTGCAAAAATACCCAACCCTATGTACGCCTCCAATGCAGGTAAATCAGATACAGAAGTTATCATTTCCGTATCGTAATTTTTACTCGAGAGTTAGTTTTCTGCAGATGACTAATTGAATTTTCTTCACTTGTCTCAGGCTCCACAACTATACTGCAGCCTCAGTCAAAGCGATCACGTGCGGACAGCGCTGCAAAAATGGTCAATCCTATCTACGCTTCTGGTTCAGGTAAATTTCAATTTTCAATTTCAACTTTATTAAAAAGCAGGGGTACGTATTGTACAAAAATAATGTAGTACTCCTGAATTGTGTGGACTTTACATAAGTACAAGAGACGCACAAGGCAATTACATACAAAAGTGGGACATGCATGAAACACAAGAACACTAGTACTAGGTCTGCATTTGGCTATTGTACAGTCTAATTGTGCAGTGGAGGAACGGGTTATACAGTCTGTTTGTCCGTGCCTTGGGCACCGTGATTCCCCCAGAGTTCCTCAAACACCTCCCTGTGCTGTCCGACCTGGCTCCCGGTACCAAATCATGTAGTGGGTGGTCAGGGCTGAGCATACACTTGAACAGCTTGACAGCCGCAAGTTCACGTCTTTCTCGGAGTGTTGGGAGGTCAGGAACATTCCTCCTTCCACCCAGAGAGATGATCTTCAAGGCTCTCCTCTGCACTCTCTCTCGAGAGTCAGTTGCTGTTTCTTACTACAGCCCACTAGGAGCACGTGGCCGTACTCGAGAAACTTCTACGCTTCTGGTTAAGGTAAAGTTTCCCGATTTCGTTCGTTTTGTATGTTAAAGGCCCAATATTTGTCACTGATATGACTATATTACGTCTTTGTTTTTTCACTCAGCCGACCCACCAATGGACCAACCCCAAACTGATAATCAAGCACGTGCGAACGACGATGTAAACACATACGAGGTCACGTACGCCACCATACCAGGTAAAACGTTTTAGGTTTATCTCTTTTCTTGCATCCTGTTTTTCATCCCTTTGTGATTATAACCTCATTAAAGCTGAGGATGTCTTTTATGTAGTGACCTGATTGGTCTGTCATACTATATGTTTTCGTACATATGTAGGCTTTTTTTTTCTTTCTTTTTTTTTTTATTCAACTGAAGAAAATAACAAAAGAAGTGAACCATCCAACTTGACAACTTAAGTACAATAAACTTAAGTAACTCAAAATATACATAAGGTACATATAGTATGAAATCATAAGATATCATAATATAATATGCAATCATAATAAGTAATAATAATAAATAATATGATACAATGTAATATCACACTATACCATATAACAATATGATATAATATGATATAATAAATTATGACATAATATAACATCACATTATATCACACAACATGATACAATATGATATAATAAATAATATATAATATTATATCACATTATATCACCCAACAACATGATACAATATGATATATTAAATAATATGATACAATATAACAATATAACATATGTAGGGTTTTGTTGAGAGCTTTGTCAATATATCTCCACAGTTTCGTAATGTAACAAAAGCATTATTTGTAAGTAAGAATGAAACCACTGTAAACATACAGGTCCAAGGAACTATTTCTTTAACTTCTAATGCTGAGGTCACTTTTCCAAACTAAAGGCCCGGACGGGCAGTTTTGATAAACAACAAAAAAATCAACAATTTATATCAATAATAAATGCAAGTACATGTAGTTCACATTATTTATTAAAAACACCTTTGTGCTTAGTTGTTCAAGTAAAGCGTTTATTATAGTATCAATGTTGTTAATTTTGTATGTTAAAATATTGATATTGGGCCTATGACGCCGAATATTTTATATTGCATCTTTGTTTTTTTCGTCCAGACGACTCACCCATGGACCAACCCCAGGCACGTGAGAACGACGATGAAAACACACCCAACGCCACCATACCAGGTTAACCTTTTTTCATAATAAGAAAATAATCTAATTTTATTGCTTTTCATGATGAAACTTTAATACATATACAGCAAATGTAATGTATGACAAGTGGAACATTAACAGGCTCCAATTATGCAAATGACGTCTAATTAGCACAATCAATACGATAATGCTATTTTTCCCTACTGGTAAATTATTGCTATCTCATTGATACATGTACGTGTTCATTTGTTCAAGCTGAGCATTACTATGCGCGAATGTTGACGTAAACAATAATCCGAGTGAAGTATGTTTTTCCTACCAGACGGCGCGTATCCGGGTGGAGCGAGTGGCCGCCCTGGTGTCTGTAGCTTCCTCCGCGCTCGCCGCAGCTGGCTGGCCCCCGGCATCGCCGTACTGGTGAGCTTGTGCGCCATGGGACTCGCCCCTCTCACGTTCAGCAACAAACAGGTAACATTCTAGTACCACTTATCTTGTTGTGTAGCTGTTTATCTGACTCTCAAGGGTACAAGTTTTTCGTAAGTTTGTTTTTACGTTCGGTATTCTAACGTACGTAAATACGTTTGTAGGAAATATCCACCATTGTCAACGCTGTGAAACTCGACCAAGATGACATACGCCAACTCTCCGACAATGTTGACGCCTTGAAACGCGACCAAGACAACATTTCCACCACTGTTGACGCATGGAAACGAGACCTAGAAGTCTTGCGCCAGCTGTCCACCACTGTTGACGCCTTGAAACGCGAGCAAAATGCCTTGAAACATGACCTGGAATACGAGCGAAACCGAACCGCCACCTTGGAGCAGCGTCTTCACGAGATTGAGAACGGTGCACACACCAATTCTTCCGCGACAGGGGGAGGTAGTGCCCGGAAAAAAAGTGAGGAAGGGGTTAACGTTCCGATGGTTCATGTTAAGTTCACATTTCTCATGATCTTCTGTAAAATGGTATTAACTACTAACATGGCTGGAAATTGTAGAAAGTGGCGTGTTTTGGATGAAAATTGATTTCGGGCCCGAGGCTTACTTCCGGGTGTCCTTCCGCCTTGAGCGCGGTGCTTCGGTTTGACCTAGATAATTGCGTTGTATGCGTTCTGGAGGTGCCGTCGCTGATGCCTCACGTGACGGGCTATTGTGATAATTCCAGTGTTAGGATTTGTTACCTCCGTGAAAAATGGAGGTATTGCTTTTGGCCTGTCTGTGTGTCTGTGTGTCTGTCTGTCTGTGAGTCTGTGTGTGTTTGTTTGTGGGTGTGTGTTTGTGTTTCCGCACATTTGTAGTCAGCATAACTTCATAACGCCTTAATGGATTGTGATGATATTTGGTATGCTGGTAAGTCTTAGGACGACGAAGGTCAAGGTCAAATATGGGCCTCCTGTTGGATGACCTTGGTACTGCAACAGAACTTCCGGTTTTTGTATCTTTTGTTCTAAACATGCTACGGTCTATTTTTTGTGACAGATAGCTTATTCTGTAAGAAATAAGCGGTGTAAGTTTGGTCCCCCTAGCAGCTTGTTCTGGAACTACAGAGGACCTTCGGGCGAAATCTTTAATCTGTCAGGAATAAGTGATGTGAATTAAGTCTGTGATTTAAGTGGTGTGATTTAATCTGTCAGGAATAAGTGGTGTGAATTAAGTCCCCCTAGCAGCTTGTTCTGGAACTGGCGAAACCTTTTAAAGCCAATAACTCCAGATAGGAACAACGTATTTTCATCATTGTTGATGTGTAGGTAGCTGAGAGAGTCGTACATAATTACATGCTAATTATGCAACTGAGGACTTAATTTGCCCTTCTAATGCTGAGGTCACTTTTCCAAACTAAAGGCCCGGACGGGCAGTTTGATAAAGAAAAAAAATCAACAATTTATATCAATAACAAACGTAAATGTAATTCCCATTATTTATTTAAAAAAAAAACATTTTTACCTCCATGAAAAATGGAGGTATTGTTTTTGGCGCGTCTGTGTGTGTGTGTGTGTGTGTGTTTGTGTTTCCGCACAATAACTTCAGAACTCCTTTATGGATTGTAATGATATTTGGTACCTTGGTAGGTCTTAGGAAGAAAAAGGTCAAGGTCAAATATGGGCCTCCTGGTGACCGACCTTGGTACTGCAGCAGAACTTACGGTTTTTTTAATCGTTTGTCCTGAACATGCTATGGTATTGATTTTTTGGTGACAGATAGTTTATTCTGTAAGAAATAAGCGGTGTAAGTTTGGTCCCCCTAGCTGCTTGTTCTGGAACTACAGAGGACCTTCGGGCGAAATCTTTAAAAGCCAATAAGTCCAGATAGAAACAACATATTTTCATCATTTTTAATGTGTAGGTAGCTGAGAGAGAGTTGTACACAATTAAATGTAAATTATGCAAATGAGAGCTTAACTTGCATAATTAATGAGAAAATTATATAATTACAGTGTTTTATATAATAGTACTTTCATACGTGTAATGTATGTAATTTATGGCAGATGGGACATCAAAAGATACCAATTATGCAATTGATGACCTAATTTGCATAATTAATGGAAAAATTCTGTGACTTCTTATTGCTGAATGATGGGAATTTTATACCTTGTGACATGTGTAAGTTACTTAAAGGTTAACATCACTATGCCTATATTATGTTAATGTAGAGGTCATTTGCATAATGAATGAGGACGTGTTGAAATAAAGTACGGCAAAGGAGAGGAATTTTACATTAAAAATATTGTAATTTGAATTTAGAAAACCATAAAATGATTGTGCTAATTACGACCTTATTTCCATAGTCAATGACACAAAAACATTTACAAAAACTCATATATTTCATGGAGGTATGAGATCTCAGAATTCTTGTTGTGCTTAGTTGTTCATCGATTAAGTAAATCGTTTGTATGTTATGACGCCGAATATTTTATATTGCATCTTTGTTTTTTTTCGTCCAGACGACTCACCCATGGACCAACCCCAGGCACGTGAGAACGACGATGAAAACACACCCAACGCCACCATACCAGGTTAACCTTTTTTATAAAAAGAAAATAATCTAATTTTATTGCTTTTCATTGTGAAACTTTAATACATAATTTGCATGTAATACATAATTGCATGCAAATTATGCAAATGAGGACGTAATTTGCATAATTATGGAGGAATTTCTATAATTACACTTTTATACATGTAATCTATTTAATCTGTGGCAGTCGGAACATCAACAGTAATGTAACAGTAGATCAAAATTACTGATTTTTGCAAAAAAAATGAGTAAGAAAATTATCAATTTATCTCACTGCTATTAACTTTTTTGCAACAATATTTTAGAATGAATGAATGAAGACCTTTATTGTACACACATACCCGCTGGGTTAAGTACAGGTCACAGTAAAACGATAGAATATAGATAACGTTACAATCAAGTAAAGTCGGTTTCTTCTCGTTTCTTAGTAATGGTAATAAGGTAAGAACAGATATGTTTCAATACAGAAGGTTTCTCTAAGCTCAATAGAAATACAAATTTATCTGTACAGCTTAGATGTATAAAGAAGGGGAACATAGATTGTATCAGATTATAAAGATCTACTCTCTCTTTGTTATCATTGCAAATTTCTTTTGAATACGTTTGAAGGTAGATGTCTTTTAAACGCTGATTAATGGAATTAGTAATTACAGAAGTATTTGTGTTGGGTGAAAGGGGGCAATGCCATATATAACTATTTAGATTAAGTTTGGTGGCCCTATCACGAGCCGTTCGGACGTTGTCAGGCATCAATTTTAGCGCGGGCACTCCCCCCCCCCCAGGTAATAGATAGGATTAAATTATCAAATGCAGCGCCGAGGGTAGATCTATCGCACGTATGTCATGATTTGTAATATTAACCATCATGGCCTGTTGCTAATACAAATCTTGTTTCCTAGCATTTTGTCCTAAAGGTTACACTCGGAGGCGTGGAATATGCTACAAGGCCTTCAACACACGCAAGACCTTCAGCGAAGCGGCTGTGGCCTGTCGTGCAGACGGCGGCACCCTCGCCATGCCCCGAGACGCTGAGACCGAAGCCTTCCTGGTCTCCCTGTACAAGCCCGTACGCGTGTGCGACAACCGAGGCTTCTGGATCGGCCTGCACGATCAGCGCGAAGAGGGAAGGTTTGAGTGGTTGGACGGTTCTGCACTTGGGCCGTACAGCTCCTGGCGTCCGGGACAACCAAACAACGGGCGGGACGGCGAAGATTGCGTCTTTTATTCCACATCCCAGAATTCCCAGAAGTGGAACGACCATAAATGCCACGATACGTTTTGCTTCATATGTCAGAATGGTACTTATTGTATCCTCTATTCACAAAACGCTTTCATCTAGTAAACAAGGCACAGCTTAAGTACCCATCAGAATGAGCGGCAAAGCATTGTCACAAACCATGTCAACTAAATCATTCCACATCTCATCAGTGATAATTCGTTTATTCGTTTACTTCGATACCCTTTAGTCCATGAGGACTAATCTTCCAGGGTTCAAAAACATATAAAACAAATAAACATACTGACAACACAAAAAAGAGAATGAACATACACAATCATCAGAAATTATATACAGGTCAAGAAATAATAGTACATGTATACAATTTAACTTATGTACAACTGGTGGAAGGCCTTTTTGAATTGATGCGGACTGGTCAGTGTTTTGATACTGGGTGGCAGGGTGTTCCATAGATTAATAGCGCGGTAGAGAAATGTTCGCTTTTTGCTGTTTGTTTTTGGTTTAGGTAGTTTGAAACTGCAAGAATTGGCAAATCTAGCTGAATACTTGTGGGTAGAATGGACGGGAACAATGGAGCTGTAGATGTTTTGGGGTTCATGACTGTTAAGAATTCTGATCTTATTTTTCTGAAAACTTCCATAGGCGACGGGAGGGACGTTTTGTCATAGAAATAGACTATCCTTGCTTCAATGCGTTTCGCTTCATATGCCAGACTGCTCCGGGTATCCACACTGTTTCCTAAAAACCCTTCCATCCAGTAAACATTGCTTAGGCCACAGCAAGTAAATTTTATGGATGACGTCCTCCGCAGACTCCAGATCTAATGCCAGCGGGCGTAAAAAAACAAGGCGGGTCGAAAAAAACAAGGTTCCTACATTTTCAAAGTTTGACTCAATCATTGTACAAATGGTTTTGATTCAATGGGAACATCACATATACACAGCCAGCATCACATATCACTGCATCAAAGTAAAAAACAAACATTAAATCTTGTCTCCTCTTTTCATAGTTATTTGCCACCCACGTTCCGGCATGGCAGCAGACATCTTTGCCCATTTTTGGCATGTTGACCACTGTCAGAAGGCAACAAAATTTTATGTTTTTTTTCCAAAATCAGGTGAAAATTAATGCGCGCGCTGATGTCATCCATAAAAATTACTTGCTGTGGCGTTAGGTTACGTACCCATCAGAATAAGGCGGTGGACCATCGTCACAATCTATGTCTTAGACAAATCATTTTACATGTCATATCCATTTCAAATCTAATATCACTGTATTTTTTTCAGGAAGTCCAAAGGCGACAGGCGGGAATGTCACCACGACTGTACAGCGGCTCCCCTATCATCCGCCGTCAAACTAACTCTTCTATAGCATTGTTTTAGATCAACATTTCCCCCCAAATGTTCCAAAAAGGTTAATCTACAAAGTAGAATTGCAGAAAGGGATGAAGCAGTGCTGTACAGTGGTAGTCACGCTTGTTTCCATACGGAACATGTCTACTGATTTAGACAAGGCGCTCAAAGGCAGAATCATATCAAGTTTCAATTTTACTTGATTAAAATGAGGGAAACATTCAGATATAAGTTTTCCTAAATAATTGGAGGATGGTTTAAGGAATGATGATTCTGTTGTAGACGTAGACGCTGTACCAATAGAACATTAATATTTTATTGCAAATTTATACTTATTCATTATTATCATTACTTATTACGGTACAATGTACGGGCACACAATGTCCTTTTGGTGGCTGAATCATAGCAAGTTTGTTTTGGTAAAACATTGGCAACACTCTAGTTGATTGCAAATAGAAGATAGAGAAGTCAGAGGTCACGGATCGGCGAAGGTTGTTCGAGTCTTTCGCTCCTAGACTTTTTCGCTGTTTTCAAGCGTCTCTTTTAATGTGAGCTCGTTTATGTTATGTGTGCTGTGAAAGAAGTAGCCAAGGAATCATAAACTCCAGAAGAGAAGGATTTCCGAGTCTTTAAGCCGAGTTTTTGGACTGAACCAGACTGATTAGAAGAACGAGAGCGGGGGTGAAGAATTCAACATGGCCGATGAGACACGCGTCGAGGAAGAAGAAGACTGTCGCCCTGTCTTCCTGGTACTCTGGAACGTTGTCAACAGAGGCAGAGGTACGAAGGCCCACAACGACACTTCCACACACCTCTTCCACAGCCCTTCCATAGCGCGCTGCCAAAGGATATACCCTCCATAGCGCTCTTCCGCGGACCTTGGCAGCGCGCTGTGGAAGCCTGGTCCGCGTATGAGCGCTATGGAAGGTATATCCCTTGGCAGCGCGCTGTGGAAGGGCTGTGGAAGAGTGTGGAAGTGTCGTTGTGGGCCTTCGTACAGAGGAGACATGTTCCTTTCTTAAGAGGATATCTTCTCGGCGGTCGCTGCTACGCTTGGCCAAGATATACCCGCGGCCGAGCCAATAAAGTGTATCCAGATTGCCCGAGGTCTCTGTAGGATCTACATCGAAGGAAAAGTCTGCCGTGCCAAAGCCTTGACCAAAGGTCTGAGAAGTAAGACTGTCACTCTTCACGATAAAAGCCCTTTTGTAAAATTCCCTAGGGGAACAAGGCTTACGGTGAAAGGACTGCCATGGTCCATTCATGACTCTGTGATTAAACATACGCTAGAACAGAAAGTATCCAGAAAGCTAGACGCCTTCCACCAGAGAAACCTGAGGAGGATACTGAAGGTGAGGTGGCAGGACCACATAACGAACGATGGGATCCTGGAGTCCAGCAACATAAAATGAAATAACAATAATAATAATAATGATAATAATTGCTTTTAGCAATAATAATAAATAAAACATACAAAGCATACTGAAATCATAACAAACTTGAAACAGAATCAATCATAGAGAAAAAAGTGAATTGCAGATCAGAGGTCAAATAATAGAAATAATATGTATGAAATGAAAGTAATGCGTAGTGCATGTAAGACAGGTACAACCATTCTACAGGTATGGCTATTAATTGCCTATCAGTGAATGTGAACGGGATTAGAGACAGAGTGATCTAGTGAAAAGAATATCCATTTTTGAATGTTGTAAGGGCCAAAAAGCAACCAGGTCGTAACTGGTCGGATTTTAGTCTAACATACATGTGGAGGTGAAAAATGTTACAAAGGTTTTAAAAAAACTGTGAGATTTCGTCACCATTAAGAATAGTAAAGACCTTCACATGGTTAACTAGAGTTCCACGACCTTACACCTTCGATGTTTCAGATGTTAATCTTTATGCATCTTTATTAAATAATAAATCATCCCACCTGATTATGCAAATAGAATCCTCATTTGCATGAACTATATCAGTTGTACATAATGGTCAAAGCTACAAATGTACGTTTGCACAAATTGATATCTACTAATTACCTGTAGTTATTAGAGAATAACTAGCTTTTAATAGGCTATTAGGTTATTCTTTAATAACTACAGGTAATTAGTAGATATCAATTTGTGGAAACGTACGTATTAGGTTTGGAAATAATGCTTATGAAAATCATACTTTTTCGCAGTTATCCATACGAAAGGGCTGTATTATAGCTTTAAAGATAATTATATTTGGGGCAATAGAATATGATGACGTCATCCATATGGTCCATAAACTCATATTCATAACCCTTTTGTACCCAAGTATCAATATTCAGTACAACTACAGTTCTTTCTAAATTTTTTGTGACAAAACAATGGAAAGATTAAAATGCCAAATTAGCCAGTGAGATAGTGGCTGCAAATGTTGTTCTATGCTTTAAGGATCTATAAGCTTAATTCTGGAACTGCCACGTGTGTTACGTGATAGTAGCGAAAAGCGTTACTTACCTTTCCCCATGGAAAATATTAGTAAGAAAGGCTATTACAGATCATTTGGGTGTAACCTAAAAAGAAAAAAAAATTCTAAAAACCTGTGTCCAAAAATTAAAAAAAAAACGACTGTTGGTATTTTTCCACTCTACGTTAATCTGGTCATTCGGTCCAAATTTTATTAATTTTTTTTTGTCTAAAAAAAATTAAATGGCGCGAGTGTGTTAAAAATGTGTCAAATAATTGATCACATTTGCTATTAATACTCGAGTTAGATGCGCATGCTAATGCAATGTATCATGGCTCTTTGAAGAAGAGATATTTCGTAATAGTTCCTAAGCGATTACATGGCAAAAATAAAAAAGAAACTAGAGAAGTAACATTTGCAAAGCAAATGCATAATGTTTACCTTCGGACATGATCTGCTTTGTTAATTCTTACTCAAGGCAGGAGCAGAGTCGACCATGAAATTGCAACATTATGTAATATAATTATGTTATTATAACCCAACACCAGTCACCATGGTGAACAAATCATGCCATTGGTCAGGTCAGAGGTCACTGTTTGGAGAAGAAGAAGAGGAAAAAAATGAGCAAAAACAACATGTTTTCCCTCGGTAAACATAAAAAAGAAACTTAAATCCCCAAGACTTCAGTGACTGGAAACCAGGCGTTAAAAAAACAAATTGAAAATCATTTTCTTTTATCTCGAAGCTCCTCGTGTACATACCAGAGAAACATCTTAGAGAATGTTTTAATCTGCTCCCCTCTTCCAGAATTGACATAGCGACAGGATCAGGTATCCACGTAAACAAACACTGGAGGATCAACCATACCAATGCAACAAACCTACACCACTATATCTATATTACTATACCTATACATCATACAAAAATTTAGACTAATGCCACATCGGAACTTGAACTACAAACAAAGAAACTAACAAACACAAAAGGTCTTTTACGGGGACATATCGACCCCCACGACTCTCATCTTTGAACTTAATCTTGGTGTCCACCACAGTAATATCACTGTGGTAATATGCCTACCAAATTTCAATAACTTTCATCCAAATATACCCATGTTATCCTGCCCACAAGAAAATTAAGAAAATGCCCCTGCAGTGACAACGAAGCCCCCCACGAAGCCCATTAACAAACTTAACCTTGGTCCCGACAATAGTAACCTGCCTACCAAAAATTTTAAGCAACATTTTACAAATACTTGAGTTATTTTGCTCACAAGCCACAAACACAAAATGTGCACTAACGTGACGCACGGACCCCGCACGAAGCCGAAACTTGTACTTGACTTTGGCCTCAACAAAGGTAATCTGCCTGCCAAAAATCATGGACGCCGAATCATGCCTGCCAGAGTTATATTGCAAAATCCGCAGTCGCCCACAATGCGGCAAGACAATTTCATAGTCTTTCTGACGAAGAAAATGATTGATTCGAAATTTAAAAATGTAGAAACCTTGTTTTTTCGGCCCACCTTGTTTTTTCACCCGCTCGCATTAGATTTGAGATATGCGGAGGATGTCATCCATAAAATTTACTTGCTTTGGCCTAAGAAAAACAAAGGGAAGAAACAAAAGTAAAACAAAAGCAGCAGTACTTCCTTTTCCGAAAGGGTCTGAAATACCCACCACAGACAGCATGTAATGAACAGAATCGCCAGCAGGACATGGGCGTGAGTGTTGATGAAAAACGGGTAAGGACACAGGAAGTAAATTTTATGGATGACATTCTCCGAAGACTCCAAATCTAATGCGATGGGGCAAAAAAACACGGGCGGGCCAATAAAAAAGATGCCTACCTTTTCAACCTTTGAGATCATAAACCTTGTTAAGGCCACAGAGAGTAAATTCTGTGGAAGACACCACCTCAGACTCCAAATAGAATGCGATAGGGCGAAAAAACAAGGTGGGTAAATAAACAAGATTCCTACTTTTTAAACTTTTGACATCATTAGATCTGTGTCTGTATCTGTATAGCCGGTATAACCGCCCTTCGGCGTAACGCACCAGCTTCGCAGGCACGCGGCGCGGCGGCAGCTAGCTATATCACACCGAACAACTTGTTACACTCAATCTTTGCACATTTAATTACAACAGGAGTTGTTTGAAGCTTTCTAGTGATGATGCCCCAACTGTGCTTGGTGGCAACGAGTTCCAGTCTACGATAGTTCTGAGGAAATACGAGTTGTTAAACACCTCAGCTCAATTCTTGGTTGATAACTCTGATATTTGAAAGCATGACTGTTTCTTGTTCTTTTCTGGGCTGGTATCAGATACTTAGTGGTTGGTACGTCCACCAGTTTATTAGTCATTTTGTACCTCATGCACAGTCTGGACATTCTACGTCTGTCTTCCAGCGACCCCCACTGTAGGTTTCTTTTTCATTTCCGTTACACTAGCACCTCTTTGATGTGTGGCCTAATTAATATAGGTCTAATCTACGGTAGCTCGTAGGAACGAGGAACGAATTTTATAAACGGATCAAAGGGAGAAAAACAGCACGTGTGACGTCTAACAGCACGTGTGACGTCAACGTCATTCTTTCTTCTCCAGGCTGGAGACCAGGGTTCCGTTTACGCTGACGTCCTCCGGGTTCACTCGGTGGAAAAACACCACGATCCTGGGAACATAGAAACACCGGAGAGTGTGATATTTCTTTATTCATATGCAATACCAAAAAATACGAGGCAGCAGCTTCAAGAGCAGTAATGGTCGAATAATGTGTCAATTCTAGGACGAGCTTCACCGCCTCTTGCGGGACCACGTCGGCATTCGACCGAGATACGCTGGGAGGGGGGCATCAGCAAGCAGGTCGTTGACCTCTTACATCTATAAGACGCTACCTTGCGTGTTTGCGTGTGAACAAGGCCTTAGTCTTTAATAGGATCATCGGAGATATCATCCTCACCTGTCGTACTGCACAGGTAGTTTCTCGGACAGGAAGTCGGTAAAAGCCTTGGAGTATTTCTCCTTGTCTTTCTCCTCGTCGAATTTCTTGATACATCTTATCTCGAACTGTATGTACGGATCGAAGGAGCCCGCTCGCAGAATCTTCAGCCCGGCGTCCACTTGAATGGTCACCTCCTGTGGAAGGATCAATAATAATAACAATAACTGTTAATGGTTTATTTGTTTCATATACAAAAATCATAGACAACCAGTTAAGGATTCTCGAGTTATCTGACGAACAAAAAACGCAAACACAAAAGGTCAGCTCCAGTCACGTAAGAACCCTCCACGAAGCCCATTTTTGGCCTTGACAATGCCCATCACTAAGACAACCTGCCTGCCAAAAATCGTGAACCTCGGACCATGCCTTCAAACTTTATCGTGCATAATCTGCCAAACAGTGCCAAAACGATTTCATAGCCTTCTGTCGAAGGCAAAGATCCCACTTCGCAGCCATTGCTGAAGTACTTGGACTGTTTACATTGAGTCTAACTACTACATCAATACAGCATAAATGGTAGTAAACTATTGAGATAAAAATGGCGGGTTGGTGACTTAATAGGTTTAAAACATTACATAGATCTACATTTTTTGATAACATTGTGCGTAGGTACTAGATTAGATTAAAAGCATTACTTAGATCTATATAAGTATAAAACATTAGACGTTGACTAGTGGATGTATTATTAGATAAAAGCACAACGTAGATAAAGTATTTACATATATCGGAAGTATTTAAGCATCTAGCATATATTATATATAAGGCGTACTCTGAAGTAAATGGCAGCAAACAGTGATACGCACTACAAATCTGCCAGAGTCAGATAGGAATGCTTCGGTCCCGATTGGAAAAAGGGGCCCTGCCGGGTAGTTGCCGGGATGTTTTATGGCACTTTCGGGAGTGACCTCTACGTGACCCCGCGGGATACCGTGCGGCTACCGGGCTATTTTTGGGCCCGGCGGGGACCCGAGAAGAATTTAATCCTGACTTAAAATCTACCCGGGCCCCTCCGGTTGCCGGCAGTCCACCGGGACACATCTGTTACGTCACAGACCAGATGAACGGAATAAAGGTGTGTACTTCGTAAACCCGGGTAAAATGTGTGACGTTACAGATCAAAGGATCACAACAAAATGTTACATATAGGTCAGTACAAGACATCGTCAGAGAATCTGCCGGGTGCCTGCCGGAGATCAACCAAAGAGGGTGACAAAATTTTTAACAAAATGCTACTGAAGAAAACTTTTTATTGTGACCACGACAGCCGATGCCCGCCCGACTCCTGAGCCTGACGGGGGCCGGCCGGGGCTACATCCCCGACGGGCACCGGCGCAATTGGGACCGAAGCTGAAGTCAGCATCCGAATCATGTAAGGATTCGCACTAGATCTATATCAAGGCTCGTTCTGTTGATTTGCGTACTAGTATATTTTGATGACATCCGCGCGCGCATGAATTTTCGACCGTTTCTAAAAATGCGAAAATTCCATGGATGAATATTGTTCGTTGCATGTTTTGGATAGACCATCGCATGATCTGGACCTATTTCGAAAACCACTCATTAGCAAACAGAAAACTAAAACAAATCTTTCCAAACACTAGCCTATAATTTCTTCCAAGCCATTCACCAATTTCACACTTCCCATAATGCCTAGTAACGGTCACGGATATGCAGGGATATGACGTAAGACCACCTCCCCTTCCTCGATGTAATATTTCCAACAAATTCTATCGACAAACTGGTCAACTATTGTTTTGAATTATTTATCTAGTATAAAGCACATGCCATAATTGCATTTTTGTTGGAATTAGAGAAAATGACGTACCTTCTATCGTTCCACCTTCTACCGAAGACTCTCCTACTCGCACGGTCGCATGCATTACCGAGTAGGAGAGTCTTCGGTAGAAGGTGGAACGATAGAAGGTACGTCATTTTCTCTAATTCCAACAAAAATGCAATTATGGCATGTGCTTTATACTAGATAAATAATTCAAAACAATAGTTGACCAGTTTGTCGATAGAATTTGTTGGAAATATTACATCGAGGAAAGGGGGGGTGGTCTTACGTCATATCCCTGCATATCCGTGACCGTTACTAGGCATTATGGGAAGTGTGAAATTGGTGAATGCCTAGAAGATTGTGCTTTTACCAATTCTTCCTTGTTAAGAAGCTCGGCGATCATCTTGGATGTCTCTTTCATGAACTCATCGCTGATCTGGTCTGGGGACAGGTTGGTCTTGATGTGAGCCACCGGCATGTCTTTTCCTTTTGGAAATAGGGAGGGGTCGGTATACAAGGCTACCTGTATGTGAAATTTGTAAATATTGTAGTGCAAATGCTGTGGAAGACAAAATACAATTATCTCAAACTGTTCGTTACATAACAACGTTCGAAATGCGTTGACTAATCAAACCTCCATAATTTATCCCAATCAAAACTTACAGACAAAAAATTCTTCTTCTTTTAACTTCCCCAAACCCACAAATTTAAGAAAAGGTGGGACAGGGGGCAGGTACCGACTTCCAACGACCTTTGACCGGAGGTTGACCTCACACGTCCGGTGTTAAGCCAAATACGTGATCCTGCTAAATACATTGGCACCAACACTACTTGGGGTTTTCCAATATACCTGAGACAAGGGGTGGGAGGGGTTAAGTCGTGATGTGGGAGACTAAACCTAATCTAACCCTAATCGTAAGTCTCACCCTAGCCCTGAACAATGATCCCAACTCTAGCCCTAGCCCTAACCCAAACTCTAACACCAACCCTAATCCTAAAAACATGACACCTCGTGTATGTGGCAGCTCAAAGATTTGGCTCAACACCGGAGAATCAAGTGTTCTGAGTATCCATGAGAGACGCGAATTTGAATTGTTTTGTTTTAAATATCGGTCAACGCTGCACTTCGTAAATACACCGCATGGAGCGTGCAGTTCAAAGTACAGACTTTAAAAGTCATGTGTGAAATCAAAGGTCGCTGTGGCTCACAGATCAACTGACTTAAAATCCATTTTGACATTGGGAGATTCCAGTATCAGCAACGCACTAGAGCCCATAGCCGTTATCTGTTTTTAGGCAATACATCGTACGTAATACCAGACCTAGACCAGGAATTCATTTCTTAAAACACTTGAACATCATAAAAAAATGTACATATAAAAATCATATTTGATACTATTTGTGATATGCATTTGCTTTAGTTTAGATATAACTGTGAAGCAGTTAAGTTAATAAAAATGCCCACATTATAATAATAATAATAACCTCTCTTGTACATTCATGCCCTATCGGGCTAAGTACAGGTCAACAGATGAAATAGGTAATATACATGTTTGTATTACAAACAGCTCTAAAATTACTCTAATACAGAGGTTCGGCTTCTTCTCGTTTCTTTGTGATGTTAAAAATATAATTTAAGATGAGTTTGTATAGTACAGGATGATCAAAGCGCATAAGAAAGATAAATTTTTCAATATTAGACAAGTATTGGAAGTATGGAAACGTACTAGTAATATATCTAAAAAAGGTCATTTCTTTCATTACTATATAAACTACAATCAAAAACGGAGGCTTGAAATTATACCCATAACGGACTCACCTTACTGCTGTATGTAGGATACAGGTGGACTGTGAGCTGACTGTCACCTTTGACCGACCTTATCTACGTCATCATAGACAAACACACGCCAAAACTCTGCCGTGAACTGTGACACGTAGACATTGACTCTCATTGGCTGCAAGTAAATACATTATAGTAATGAGAGAACGCGGATTGGTCGTGCAACGGAACTTTCGCGCCACCGCGCGGGCCCCTGATTGGTCAGGCTGCCGGTCCATATGACATCTTAGCGTTCGAAACTGCAACTTGGCACTTGTTTTTTTGGGTGAATTTTTCGGCAAATAGCAACGTTAACGTTTGAGAAAAAACAAAGCATACGAGATTACGAAAAAAGAGGTACATAAACAAATTATTTTGACATTTTTTTTCAGCCACCCTCAGTCCTTACTTTAAATAATAGTGCCTGCAAATGTTGTTTTATGCTTTTAGAATCTATAAGCTTAATAGTACCGATGAGCGTTACTTACGTTTCCCCTTGGAGGATAAAAAAGAATTTAAAAAGTGCTTTATGGAAAGGACAAGGAGTTTTTATCGTTAAAATAAAAAGCCCACCTAAAAGGGATAATTACGCTCTTCGTTTGATGGGTATTCGAAAAATCCTGCATTTAAGCCCTTTGATATTTTGTATAAAGGCGTATAAGCGTCGTACCTATAGGCCAATCAGGGGACAAGCTCAGCAGTCCTTTTAATTAGCAATAACCCATATCTATGGGCCAAGGGCTTGAGAAAATTTGGAACAACTAAATCCGACAACGACCTCCAGTATCAGTTGTTTACGTCTACAGCACTGACTACAATGTCTCCATCTTTATGACATTTTTAATTGTCCTCTTATTCCCACTGACGTCATATTAAAGTTGACCAATCGCGAAATCTCGCGAGAGGTCAACAACCTATGACGTCATCACTCTTCTATCCTTCACTTGTCGCGACCTCATCTGCGCAGCCGGATGTCAGTTTTTAGCTCCTCAGCAGTCGGTCCTCAGCACGCTATGGCGGCGTGCCAGCCGTCCCTCACCGAGCCGAGAAGTCTTCAGGAGTAGTCCGAAGAGAGGCAACGGAGTGAACGGCGATGTTTTAAGCTGTGTTTAGAACGTCTAGGGGTTTGTTTCTTGTGTTTCGTTTGGTTTTGTGGTTCAGTGTTTTTTTGTGGTAGCCATGTGCCATCCTTTTGTTCTGTGGATTTGCATTTCTGTACAGCGGGCGGCGCGGGTGCACATAGTTGTGGCTCGCCAGCACCTGGCACGTTTTTGTGTCCTTTTGTTACGGCGGTAGACTTGTTTTTTATCGTTTTGTGTCGTATTTGAGTTGTGTAACTCTGTGCTTTTTCGAGTTAGGCCTTTAGGCTTCTGCGTCCTCCTCTTCAAGCGGCACCAAGACGGCGAGGTGGACCCGCCGGCAACGTACCAGGGGAAAACGACCATTTCTCCTGGGTCAGACACCAGCTAGCTTTAAGTTTATCGGCGCCACCCGCAGCATCATCCTCGAGAAGTACTTAGAAGACGGCAATACTACGCTTACGGTGAGTTCTACTGTACTTGCGCGTACGGGAGGGACCACCGGCTTCGACCACTTCTCCAACAACTTCGGACTACACCGGCCTGGGGCCGCATGTCAGCTAAACAACGGCCTGGGGCCGTAGCGTAGCTGGGCTACGGTGAGTTTGGGGAGAACCCCACGATCAGCACGCTAGCCTGAGGGACCATCGACATCGACTACCTCTCCAACAATGTAGCTGGGCTACACGCGGCCTGGGGCCGCACGTCCGAGCAAACAACGGCCTGGGGCCATAGCGTAGCTGGGCTACGCCGGTAAGTATGGCAGCCTGGTGGCTGCAGGTCCCCTCTAACTACGGCCTGGGGCCGTCACGTAGCTGGGCTACGCCGGTAAGTATGGCGGCCGGGGGCTGCAGGTCCTTTCTGACTACGGCCTGGGGTCGTGGCGTAGCTGGGCTACGCTGGTAAGTATGGCGGCCTGGGGCCACATGTTCCCTCAAACAACGGCCTGGGGCCGTCACGTAGCTGGGCTACGCTGGTAGGTATGGCGGCCGGGGTCCGCATGTCCTTTCTGACTACGGCCTGGGGTCGTGGCGTAGCTGGGCTACGCTGGTAGGTATGGCGGCCTGGGGTCGCATGTCCCCTCTAACTTCGGCCTGGGGCCGTAACGTAGCTGGGCTACGCTGGTAAGTTTGACGGCCTGGGTCCGCGTGTCCCCTCTAACTTCGGCCTGGGACCGGAATGTAACGTAGCAGGGGCCTAACGCCCGGGTAGAAGGGGTGCCCCGGGCCGAAAAGCCACTCTTAAAAAGGCCGGGGGACTGGAGCGTAGCTGGGCCATGCGGTTATGTTCGGCAGTTGGAAGCCGCCGATCCTCTCTTCCTGCGGCTTGGCCGTAGCGAAAAAACGCAGCTGTGCTACATGGGTAAGTGTGGTGGTATGAGGTCGCATGTGCACGACGGTTAAGGGCCTATCCACAGGTTTGGTTTATTCTAAAGGACATTTTATCTACTGACATCAGTTGCCTTGGTACCAAGCGGAGCCTCGGAACGGTCGACGGAACGAACTGAATCATACGATTTGTGCTCATTACTTGTACTACTATTTTGGGGGCGAGTACAAATGTGTTCTTGCCCTTCTGCGATGGGTTGTGACTTCTGATGGGTTTGTTGGTATTCGGGTGTCACCTGTTTTTCTACTTGATTTTTTTCAATCCTAAAGATCAGTTTGTTCTATTTCGTTTTGGACAATTTGGCGGTTTACTCAAAAGCGTTTGTTCGTGATGGTTTCTTTTAAAGGCCCAATCTTTCCCTCTCGCGGACCTAGTCGGCCCAACTAAGGACCTTGCCGTCCATCCCTGACGGTCCGGGAAGCGAGCGGGTTCCCCCCCTCCAATTTTTCGTCTAGGCTTGAAAGTTTTTTAATGTGTGCGCATTTGTCAGACATTTATTTCTTCCGCAACCCTTCGGAGTGGAGATATTCTCACTTCGCCACGGACACTGGTACTTGTAATCACGGTTAGCACCACTGGTAAGTGCGTGCATTAAGGCGAAAGTCTGTTCTCCGAGGGGTGATTGGAGGGGGGCAACTCCCGCTTCGCCCGGTCCGGTACCCCAAAGGGAAAATGTTTACATCTGAAAAGCTTCACAGCAGGCAAATGGATGAATAAAGACGGTTCAAGGCACCTGGGAGAGGGATAGCGACCCTCACACGCGCTTTGCATTTTTTCAGACAATCTTGCCGCTCTGGTTAACATTTCCGCCCGGGTTACTAAACAGTTTCACGAAGAGCTGGCCACTGTTGTGTGTGATCGTTCAATTACGGTAAATAGCGTTGTGTCGTCCCACAGCCATGGAAGGTGACACTCGTCAGTGCCCCAGGATAGGTTAAGGCAACATTCTGCCGACTGAGTACCGTAGAATCGTGATCGAAGGAGCTTCTGCGAGACGCATATTACTTCAGGACACAATAAAAGTCAGCATGAACAGCGGCAGGGTCTGTGTGAAAACAAAACGACAGCTACAGTATACTGTATGGAGGTAATAAGTGGCAGGAACAGGTATTGGAATGTTTCTATGGTATACAATCAGAAACTACCTGGAAGGCAGGTATACTAAAGCGCTGTTGTAGGACGAGTATTTGAGTCGAGATATGGCATACGTGCTATCTAACTAGGGCTGCGGACCGGTACACTGTACCGGTCCAATACCGTAAAAATCGTTTCGGTACAGGTCCAAAATACCGGATCATGAAGTAACGAGTATATACCGAAATAGCTAGTTTACACCATGTATATGACTAAAGATAGGTAAATCCTACCACAAAGACGAAAAATTAGCACTGGAAAAGACGTAAACACCGTCGATTGATTTGAGATCCTCAGTCTCACGAGACATCGCGAGAGTGTGGCTGATCCAGGGTTGTGATTGGAAGATACTGACAAGTTGTCAACACTTTATTATTGTTTGTGTCATGATTGAAAAAGTGAAGAACACGTGTTAATTTGTCAAATTGTTCAGGTACAGGTACAGGTCCGGACCTGTACCTAAACCTCTGTACCGGTACTTGTACCTGTACCTGATGTTGCGTTTAGGTACGCAGCCCTATATCTAACGTATTTAAATAATACGATCAGCGCTATGTGCATTTTCTTGCCGCAAAGCTCTTTGACGTAGGAAGAAGATAACAGACACGCCCAACGGTCAGTAAAACTTAGGCACCATGAGCAATTTTCTTCGCACCACGTGCTTCGAGGTTATTACCTGAGCTCGAGCATCAGGGGTAGAGGCATTTTGATAAGTTTGATTGTACAGCTGGAAATTTGATGTTTGATTCACGTTTCAGTAAAGAAAAATCTGTTCGAGGAATTTTCGTTATTTTAATGGTTGTCAATGTAGGGACTGCTTCTGTGGAATTTTCGACATGTCAGGCAACCGGGAATATGTGGGGGGGCAGTCGACAGTCCAGTTTTCGTGGGCCACCCCACCAACCCCTTCTTTTATGCTGCCTCCTCGTATCGCTTGCATGTTGTTTTATTTTTGTAGTCACATAAATTTTATTGACTTAAGGGGAAAAGCACGGGTTGCTTATATGACATTACGAGAAGGTACCCTTACAGCAATTGAAGTTTGAACTGCATCTAAGACTCTACACTTTATAGGTGTAAAAAGTGACGTGGGCCATCGCGGTAGCAGGGAAGATAGAGAACTGATGTTGCGATGCTGTAGCTCTACTATGTTGGAAAGAGATGATAACAGAGAGTTTTTTGACGAGAATAAAGTTTACGATGCAGAAGGTAGTATTCGGTTGATTATCTACGATAGCCACACTTAAGTACACAGGTAGAGTAGTCAAAACAGTATAATCGCCTAACAGAGGGTAGCTTAATTGAATGAAACTTAGGACGGAGTGAGAGAAAGGGGAGCGTTTTGTCGGTCTGTTGAGTAGTGACTCCAACTCCTTTTAAGATTTTATCGTGAAGGAGGCTTAGATATTGCAATTGGGGGTAGACCATTTCCACAAGGAAGCAGTTGAGGGCAA